TTCAACAAGATTAGAGAGAGTTGTCTTAGATAGTTTGGTTACATAAAGCGTCCGACTTTCGATGACCCGGTTATTACAGTAAATATATTAGATCCAGCCTATGTTAAGAAAGTTAGAGGTAGACCTAAAAAGATTTAGTTAAAAAGTATCAGAAATGACTTTTGTTTATTAGATTTAAATGAGAATTTGACTCTTCATAGGATAAAACCTTTTATTTGAGTGTGATATTAATAAAGCTCTAGGAAAGAAAGGAAGGTTTTCATTTGAGTGTGATATTAATAAAGTTCCAAGAGAAGAGCTCTGGATAGTTCTAGGAAAGAAAGGAGTTAATAATACTTATATTCAAGTCATTAAGGATATATATGAACGAACTATTGCTTGTGTTCAAATACAAGGTGGTTTGAACAAGTATGATCCTATTTCAATTTGACTAAATCAAGGATCAGCATTAAGCCCATATCTCTTTGCTTTTATTATGGATGTTCTTAATAGACATGTGCAAGAGGTTGTGGCCTGATTTATGCTTTTTGTTGATGATATTTTTCTTGTTGATAAAACTAGAGAGCGCGTAGAAGGAAAACATGAATTATGGAGGTCAACCTTAGAGTCAAAAGGTTTTCATTTGAGTAGATCTAAAATTGAATACATGGAATATAATTTTAGTAGTAATAAATCTAATGGTGGTATTGTGACATTGGATGATCAAGTCGTTAAAAAGAGTGCACGTTTTAGATATCTTGGATCTATTGTTCAAAGCAATGGTGAAATAGATTAAGATATTATTGGTAGAATTTAAGTTGGATAGTTGAAGTGGAGGAATGCATAGAGCTTGTTGTGGGATAGAAAAGTGCTCCTCAAACTTAAGGGAAAAATTTTTAAGATGATGGTAAGACCTACAATGCTTTATGGTGCTGAATGTTGGCCAATAAAAATAAGTTAAGAGTTGCAAAGATGAGGATGCTAAGGTGGATGAGTGGTTTCACACTTAGAGACAATGCGAAATAGGTAAAAGATGAGAGTAGCTCCAGTGGCAGATAAGATTAGAGAGAGTTGCCTTAGATAGTTTGGTTACATAAAGCGTCTGACTTTCGATGACCCGGTTATGACAGTAAATATATTAGATCCAGCCTATGTTAAGAAAGTTAGAGGTAGACCTAAAAATATTTAGTTAAAAAGTATCAGAAATGACTTTTCTTTATTAGATTTAAATGAGAATTTGACTCTTCATAGGACAAAATGAAAAAAATAGATTCATGCAGCCGACCCCACAACGGGATAAAAACTTGATGTTGTGTTGTTCTACAAACCCACGATTAAAAAAGCGGACGAGGCGTCCGAACAGAGGCACGATTCAGTTCGAGGCGCTAACCCGGCGCCTTGAGGCTTAAGCCTCAATGTATTTGACTATGTTGCACCGATACACCTATTTATGAAGGCGTGTTGTATCCGATACACCGATACGCCTCCAATATTCCACTGATACGTGTTGGATACGCCAAAAACGTATCCAATTAAAATACTATTTAATTTCAAAGGGACACGCTTGTCCGATACACGTGTCCGAAAAGCAAAAAAGAAATCCGAAAAAAAAAAAGATGCATCGTATTTACTTCCACGGCTGCGAGCAAAGTTCTCTCATTTCCGAGATGGATTTGAGTCTCTTGATGATATGAGAATATTAGAAATTACTAATCTTTCACTTGATTAGCCTGATTTAAAAGCAATGATATTTATTGAAGATGATATAGAAGTTCAAAGACAAACCACTGAAGAAGCTAATCATATCATTCCTTCTATTGAATAGTTGAAACTTTATGTGCTAGACAATTTATGTTTATGCTTTTGTTGTTGTACTAGACATTTAATGCTTACTTATATTTTGATATTATAAGCTACAAGGCTGCAAATGATGTTGTTGTCATTTTTTTGTAATTTCAAATATTATGTTTTGATTGCTTTCTTAATTTTTATATATGATTTATAAATTATGATGTCGTGTCCACGTCGTACATGTATCCTATATTTTTAAGAATTGACGTGTCCCGTATCCGTGTCGTGTCGTATCCGTGTCTTCGTATCCGTATCGGTGCAACATAGGTATTTGATGAGGCGTGTGATTTTTTTCAGCGAGGCATACGCGTCGAGGCGTAACGCCTCGAGGCAGCGTGAGGCGACGCCTCATTAGGATTCGACAGAGCTCACAGCGAAGAACAAATTCCTTATCTTTCGAGCGCGCTGCTTCCGCTTCGTCCCTTTTGAGAGCTGCTTCGTGTTCGACTTCGACCACAAGTGAGTTCTTCGATCCGGCAGGAGTGCTCGGGAACGACCTTTCTTCTTGTTTGATCGCTGGTTTGAGTTCGTCACGCTTCAGTACCGAGCATGTACCGCTCGGTACCGAGCATGTATACCGAGCAGTACATGCTCGGTACCGCTCGGTATCTTTTCATACAAACAACTTACAAACTTAAAAACCAAGCATAATTTCAAAATTACTCTTATAATAAAATTTTGTTCCGGGGGCGCTGCCCCCTTGGACCCCCGACAGATCGGTATTATATTGAAACAAATCTTCAAATTTATAGTTGACGTAATATTTTGTTATTTTTTGTCATTATTTATAATTTTAAATTAATTTATTTTAATCGTTTTGTATTTTAATCGTTTTGAGGCTTACGCCTCGATCCGCCTCGAGGCTTACGCCTCGCCTCGCTTAGAAAAAAAACCTCGATTCTCGATAATCTTCAAATTTATAGTTGACGTAATATTTTGTTATTTTTTGTCATTATTTATAATTTTAAATTAATTTATTTTAATCGTTTTGAGGCTTACGCCTCGATCCGCCTCGAGGCTTACGCCTCGCCTCGCTTAGAAAAAAAGCTTCGATTCCCGATTTCGCCTTTTAAAACCTTGCTACAAACACAAGGATGGTAAGTATACTATAATAATTGTGTATGTTGCTGAAATCATTGTAAGAAGATATCATGATGTAAAAATAAATATCTTGAAGAAAAGGCTAGTAGGAGAGTTTGAAATTAAAGACCTAATCTCCCTTAGTTACTTTCTTGGAATGAAAATATCTAATATTACCATTTCTCAAAGAAAATATGTTCTAGGTTGCTTAAAGGAAATTGACTTAATTGAAAGAAACTTATTGACACTCCAACAAATTCTAAAACAGAATTAAGCGACCGCATCATTACTAGTCTACTAAATAAAGGAACATATCTAAAATTGGTTGAGAAACACATATGTTTATCTAATACCTGAGCTTACAACTCCTTTGTTGCTGGCACAAAAAGTTCATCCATGTGTCATATGAAGCACACATGAGTGTTGTCACAAGGATCTCAAGTACTTAAAAGGTAACCTAGGATGGGACTATTCTATAAAAGCGGGAATATCAAATAATAGAAGCCTATATCAGTTTGATTGGGCAAGCATTATAATTGATAGGAGATCTACATCAGGGTATTGTACTTATGAGAAGGGGTAGCCTTATAACCTAGAGAAATTAAAAACAAAATATCTTTGCAAGGAGCACTGCAATAGCTAAACTCAGATAATTGGATATAGGAATTAGTGAATTAATCTAGCTTAAGTTACTTCTAGAAGAACTTCAACTGACTGTTAAGCTCCTATGATATTCTTATATTGTGGAAATAAAATTGCTATCAATATAACACACAACATTATCCATCATGATCAAACTAAATATGTGAAGGTAAATCAGTACCTCACTAAAGAAAAAAGTTCAAAATGGAGATCCATGTTTTATATATTCCATCGTCTAATCAAGCTCCTAACATTCTAACCAGAGGATTAAAAAGACCCCTATTTAAAAAGATCATTGGCAAGCTTAGATTACAAAACAGCTCAAGGGAGAGTGTTGATCGCCAATTTCCACCAAATGTTAAAAAACTAAAAAGAAAGAATAAATGATAACCTTCTACCATATTTGAAGTTTTCTCTGGAAAGAAGCTTCCCTGGATGGAAATACCAGCTATTTTCTCCACACGGAAAGTTGTGGTTTGGGATGCAATGGAAAGCAGCAGGCGTAGGCTGTTTGGAGGCTAATTACTAGAGATTATATTAATTGTATTTAGTAATTTTAAATTAACTAGCTGTAAATCATTAAATTTGCTTTCTTTCTAGAATGTGTTAAACTCTCCTCTATTTTTCAGCTTTATAACCCTCTATTTACAGGGCCAAGTTTCGGCCAATTGGAGCAAGTAAGCATTCCACCACTTTCTCTCTCTTCTTTCCTTCTACATCTCTTTTAGAAAATATAGCAATTCAAATTCATATAAAGTACTGCTATAAATGAATAAGGCCTGAGAGCAGATAAGAACATTGCAATTTAAAATTCATACCCAAAACTCGACTTGTATTTACAAGAGAAATAGCTTATGGAAGACTAAAAGGCTACACGTTTGGATTCGCTTATAAATCTGCTTTTATTTTCATCTTTCCAGAAAGCAACATCAAAAACAGGAAACATATTTAGGGTCTTGTTTCTAGGGGCAGTCCTATTTCTTAAAATTGTGTAAACATCTTAAAAGGCTATTCAATTGTTTTGTAAGCATGTCCCGTAAAAAAAAAATTATAGAAGACAACGTCAATCTAGAAGGCAAAACAAAACACTTTATATTTGATATGCCAAGGCAACAGAATAATATGTTAAGTAGTGCATTGATGTTCAGATGATAAATGAAATCGTGCATTATTTAGTTAGAACAACTGCTCATCCCTCAGTTAGAACTTAGAAAAGCAGAAAAATATTGTCAAAACATAATAAAAATAACAAATGAAGTACATTAACTCCTAGCAATATGAACAGAAAGGGAGAATTTGCTTTGGTATGCTATGAAAATAATATTTTGAAAACATACTTAAGTTTGAACTAGTTAGAAGATTCAGAACGTACATGGTTATGACTCAATTATCAAATTAAAAAAACTAAACTTCTTAAAACTGAAATACAGCATCAAAATGGTACCCACCAGTTGAACCATTTGTTAACTCCACTCCACTCTTGGAATCCGAGAATTGTTTGTCTTCACTAGTACCAGCACCCTTTGTAGCCCAATTGCATCGAATTTGCCTGTTGCTCAACCATTTACCTGCAAAGTGATAAAAGAGAATGAAATCAAAAAAAATGGAATCAACTAGTTACAAATAATGTTATAGCAATGCTAGCTAATCTGTGGGATAAAGCAAACAGTATAAACAACATGCTCATTGGTTGTGACATAAAACAAGAAAAAAATGAGTATTCAATTGACATTGATTTATCTCACAGAAAAAGAATATAAATTAAACTGAAGATGGAATTTACCAGTTAAATCATTGATCGCGCTTTGTGCATCCTGCCCAGAAACAATCAAAACATACTGGATCAACATAAACATATTTAATATAACAGATCAAATGAATAGCAATAACTTCACCTGTTGATTCCTAAAAGAAACAAAGCCAAATCCCCTTGAACGACCAGTTTTTTGATCCCACATAACCCTTGCATCACTGAAACATATTTGGACATTAATACCACACTTCATTTAGAATAGTTAAAAAAAAACACAGCTAAGAGCACTATAAAAAAAATAATCTTACTCTTAGCCACAATGTGCATATTAAGATACAACACCTAATAACCCCTAGCCACAGAGTGCATATAAAGATACAACACCTAATAACCCCTAGCCACAAAGTGAATGACAACCGAAACTCACGAGATGCTGGGATACACAGAAAAGCAGGCAAACAATGCAGCATCAGTAACCTCAGGACTAAGATCACCAACAAAAATATTGAAATGACCTATGAAGAAACAAACAAACAGAAGTCTTACTAAGAAGTATAATCAAATAGTTTTAACCAAGTTAAAAAAAAAAAATAACATCTGCATGAATATATAACCTGAAGTGTCTTCTCTCTGAGTACTGGCATATGCCCAATTAACTTTTATTGGTTGACTGAATCTGCAATTTAACGATTAGAAGTTTAAGGAAGCTGTGGAAGACCAATAAAGAGAAAACTAAAACAGATATGGATAGTGTTTTACTTACAAATGCCTTCCATTTAGGGTAAGTATAGCAAGCGCAGCTGAGCGACGATCAAAGTAATCAACAAACCCATAAGAGGACTAAAAGGCATTAAAAAATACATGTCAAAAATAATGGCTGATGAGCAGCATGTTGGATAACAAAAGTGAAACATTGATATATGTCAATCACACAATAGGGAAATAATTTATTTCAGCGGATTTAATATATACACTGTTTCAAATTTCAAAATTGTTATACTCTCCAATATTTAAATTGGTGCCACGTCAAATGCAACATGGCAACCAATGTGGCACAGTTTTAAATCAGCAATTAACCTTGATTCTTTGCAGTTCATGACTGCCTCCTCGTCTTCTGTATATCCAAAAATGTGATATTTCATACAATAGTAAGGTATTTCAACAAAACATAAAATACTTCACCCAATTACCTTATTATAAGTGAACTAAATTATTTATAGTAAACTACCTTGTATCTCAATAAAATAGCTTATATTAGGATGAAATGTCTTAAATCGATAGGTGCCAAATCAGCTGCCACATAAGAAGTTGATGGCGCACTAATTTAAATGTGAATTTATTTGGCGTGGTATTACATTTCAAAATCTTCCCAAAATTAGGTCCAACACCCCTTTAGTAGTAATATAGCTTCTTTTGTAAATTTCTATTCCTTTGGGATATGAGAATGAGCCAATTTTGATAAGCCATTATTATATTTCTTTCCTCATTGAATGTGAAGATGGGATCTCATGTATCCTTTAGATATGGAGGAGTCAACTTCCTTAAAGTGTTTAAAACTTTGAGAGTATTCTGGATACCAATCAGATTGATACATATTAAAGTAAATATAGAGTTCTATCAAAAACCTTATATGTGGTTATCAAGAATATAGCCATTAAAAAAAAATTGTATAGATAACACAGGAGCATAAAAAGGTTTAATAAGTTATCAAATGAATGATAAAAATGTTAATTGATAGTACAATCAGCTATAAAGGCATTAAATTAAAAATAAATTGATCAAGAAAGATTTTGAAAGACTGTCAACAACGTAAAGTAACAATATGCTGTAATCCTCAAATGCATACCAACAAAATATGGCAAATATAGCTGAGACAATTGCTACCTTTAAAAGAGGTGATATAATCTTAATTGATCAATATAAAAACCAGTGCCGAGAACATATTTCCATGGAGAAGAATGAGATATTGAATACGTCTCAATATGCATCTTGCCCGACTTACCCAAAGAAAACACACATACACGCACAAATGATTAAAGTAATTAACGGCATGCCCTGATATGTGTTATCTAGGATAAGTTGGGGCCACCCAGGGGTGGGAAATTCCGTAGGTTGGAGCAGATACATTAGTATCTAATTGTATCCCTTGGTCCGTACTGGCTTCAGGAAATGCTTGTACATAAGCCTTGGGTATTCCAAGGACCAAATGTCTTAGACAGGAAGCTGTGTGGCCATCAAGGCGTATAAAGGTACAATGATATTAGCTGTCAGGGATAATAGTACTTTCATTATCTTTTAGGCCGGAAGCTTCTCAAGCTCAAGCATTTACTTTTCTAGTGAGAGACCAACGTCTTTTAAAAGAGGTGATATAATCTTAATTGATCAATATAAAAACCAGTGCCGAGAACATATTTCCATAGAGAAGAATGAGATATTGAATACGTCTCAATATGCATCTTGCCCGACTTACCCAAAGAAAACACACATATGCGCACAACCTAAAGAGTCTCCTATCTAGCAATCTCAAACACATTGGACTTTCTCGCATGAAAATAAACATGTTATAAGTAGGATCAAGCAAAGATCAATCCTGCAAACACTTTATTATTTGTCATTGAAGCCACTGATGTGGAGAGAAAGAATGCATGCAAAATGGCACAAGCAAAAGTATGAGAATCAGAATATTTGGTTTATATGTGTGTGCATTGTGGGGTTGTTAAAATTAAATCTAAGATGAGCTGTTAAACCTTTTCCTTCCTGATAAGCTTGCATCCCTCAACAGGACCAGTACTTTGGAAAACCTCTTGAAGAAGTGCTTCGGTAACTTGACTATGAATATTTCCAACATAGCTGCAAAATCTCACAAGCATAATGCAGTACAAATGTAAGTGACAATAGAACTATGTTTAGCAAAAAAAATGAACTAATATTAGAAACCTTAAAATCATATAAAAGCATGAAAAAAAAGGATTTTCTGAATTTTTGCATCAAGACAGCAAAGTCAATAAATCATAGAAAAGCTAAAGCTTAGGATGCAAGAAGAATCTAAAGATGTTTCTAAATTCACAATAAAATAAAATAAAATGAACATCATAATCCCCAGGAGACAAAAAGCATGCAAGCATAACTTAGGAATGGAAAAAAAAATATACTAAAAAGTTCCTATAACACTCACACACTGCGGCATGTACTTGAATCAAATCCAGGAGGAAGATTTCCACTTGGAATCGGCTCTATCTGCAAAATAAAAGTGTAAAAGAACAAGAAAAAGGTAAAAAAAAAATCCCTACTTTAAAGGCTATCCTCCTAAAAAAAGAAAACACTCAAAACCTAGGGTAAGAAACAACTGCACTGAAAAAAAAAAGGAAGGCTTAGGAAAGGTCTAGCATTGTCAACGTAAGTTTCTACAAAAAATATATTTGCACCTAGAAAATTTCATTTCCTCATGAAATAAAGTCAATGAGGTCAAGCACCTGTACTAACCAAACTACCTATGGCATGCATGCCCAATAGCACGAGCAAGAATAATTCAAAAAATAACCTATAAGATAGGCATAAGAGTTCAGAAGAACTTGTCGAAACCTATAATTCTAACTGTTAGGAAAAAAAAATAGGTTGAAAATAATCAACTCCAACATAGCTTAATCAATGTGCACCATCTTTACACACAGTTTAGGAATATCAAACTACCCTCAAATCAATCTTTACTTCTGAACTTTAGACCAGCGATTGAAACTGCAAAGTTCTATGTGACTCCATAATATAATTTGTTGAGATGAGAAGGAAATTTCTATCTTTAAGAAAATACATGAGCCTTTCAAAAAAGGATGCAAATTTAATAGAAGATGGAAGGGAAGCAAAATTCTAGCAGCAGCGTTCTTAAGAAACTAAAGCAACAAACTAACGAAAATTTATCCTCAGCTGCAAGAGTAGTCAAATGAAAGCAGCAAAGTACCCACTTTCCAAAAAAGATAACATGGATCCCAAAATCCTTACCTACCACAAATAAACTTCTATGACTCGGCATAAAATAAGACAGATCAAAGAAACATTATTTATTACGTACTGCCAAAGCACTCCTAAAACCTTAAAATGCCTGAAAATCCTTTTATAAAGACAAAAAGAAGCCTAACATGACGAGAAACCCAACAAACACAACCAAATGGAAACAGAAAAATCCACAATTCCACCAAAAAAGTGACACTCACCATAAACCCTAATCATTCAGGAAAATCAACCATCCACAAGAAGCAACCAAAGAATTGAGGAAACCAAAAATCGCAGCGAAATGAGCGAGAAAAATCGCAGACAGTACACTCATAAGACGAAGAGATAAAATAACGATGTCAGTAGAATAAAAGCGATACCTGGGGATGAGCTAACAGTCCCGGATGAGGGTAGAGGGACTGCTGCTGCTGTAGGAGGGCCTGCTGCATCAAAGCCTGCTGCTTAAGCCGCTGCTGCTGCATTCTTTCCGGCCTAGAACTCCTCAAGTAGAGTCGACACAAGCTACTCCGATCGGAACTGACCAACTAAGGGTTAGGGTTTATGGCGCAGTGAAGATGGAAAGATTCGGAAGGGAATAGAAAAAAAAGAAAGGAGACGAAACTTGTACAACAGAAATTAATCAAGAAAGAAAAAATCCCTCGAAATCGAGGGAGGAAAATGGAAAGACCAGAGCAGAGAGCGAGGAAGGGCAAAGCAGCCACTGAAGCTCGGAGGTAAAAGAGACGGAAAACTCTCGAAGTCGTCTATTTGTACTGTGACACTATAAGCTTTAACTCTATAAGGTGCCGTAATGTAGTGCTCGAAAATGAATGCGTAAATGCTGGGCTTATCTGCCCATTGTCCATTGAGTCACCGTCAACCTAAACGTCTAATTTGATGGAACTTTTATTTGGTCCGGTCATAGGACGTAGTTATACGTTCGGCCGTCAATAGAATCGTGTCATGCGTTCTCATTATTTACCGCGCGCCCCGACAACCCGACCCGGAACGGACCCAGGATGGCTCGGTATTTCTCGATTTTGCTAGGTATTGCTAGGTATCTATCGATTTTGCTCGGCAATAACCAATACCGAGCAAATACCGAGCAATACCGAGTTGTACCGAGTTTTTCTACAACTAGAAAAACTCGGTACAACTCGGTAGAAAGAAAAACTCGGTACAACTCGGTATTGGTCTTCACAGAGCGGTATTTCTGGTTATTGTCAAGCAATACCTAGCAATACCGAGCAATACCGAGTAATACCTCTCAATACGCGAACATAGCATTCCCGGGTCCCGGTCCGGGTCAAGTAGTCGGGCCGCGCTGTAAAGAGTAAAAGCACGTGCCAACATGTTATTGGCGGCCGAACGTAGCTCTACATCCGGTCAGAGGACGTAATAATTGTTCAATTTGATGAGGCAAGAGGGGGTTATTTTGCAAAAAAAATAAAAAAAAGTAAAAAATAAAATTGCAACTTTATATTATATTTTCTCAAAATAAATTCCAAATATTATAATTTAAAGTTTTTATTTGTTTTATTAAATTTATTTACTTTTTATAATAATTAATTTATTTTATTATTTTTTGTGACTATTAAGACATGACATATGGCCATTATAAATATCATTTTTAGTGTGTGAAAATATATTTAATATATAGAAAGTCAAAATATGAAAAATTAGTTTTCAATTTTGAGAATTGAAAATTCTGAATTTTTTATTTAATTTTTTTATATTTTCACCCTATTAATAATTCTTTATTTTTTTAATAAATATTGATCTATTAATCTATTCTTCTTGTTTTTATGATTAAATCATACTTATTTGTTAATATCAATCTTAAGAAATATTCCATTCATTAAAAAGTAATTTTATTTTATATTTTAGAAAATAATAGAATTGTTTGAAAATTAAAAAAAAAATTATAAATGTAATTAGGTTAAATCAAATTTATATTGCATTAAAAGTTGTTTCATTTAATAATTTTGAAAATACAACTATGCTTACTTGGACATGTAGATTTCCTTTATCTATTTATTTATTTTGATTAGATTGATCCAATTTTAAATTTTTTTAAACTCTAAAATACCTTCAATAAAGATATATTAGAATCTTAAAGGTTCGTTTTTTAAATCTCTTCGTTGAATTTTAATTATGACCAACACTTCGCCACTTCGCCTAGGCGCACAGCGCTTGTATAATACTTCCATAATTCTTAGTTTCACACTTACCCAATGGAGCAATGCTTGTTCTCAGCAACTAATTTAATAATTTAATCACATTTTGATTCACAAATTCAATATAGAAAAAATAACCTAAAAAAATGTTTATATGATTAATATATTTATTCTTTTAACTAACAATCATATGTTGTACTTGAGAGTGCAACTTAGGGCAACATATCATGTTACAATTCACGACAATCAAATAGTCATATATGTGAATGAAGTATTACTCGTTGTATATATAGCTATGATGAAAAGTTTATCTTTATAACTTTTAAGAATTATATATTCTTCATCATGATAGCTACATTTTTATTTAGTAAACACTTATAAAGTGGTGTGATGAGTTACAAAAATGTTCCAAACATGCCTCCAATAGCACCCCTCAACCTTTAGGTTAATGGTTGTAGGGGTGTCAATATTTCACACGACACGAAAATCCGACCTGAACCTGACCCGGAATTTTCGGGTTAGACCCGACCCGTTTTGAAAACGGGTCGGGTTCGGGTTCCCGGATTCGACCCGTTTAAAAAATGGGTCGGTTTCGGGTTGAACCGGCGGGTTGCTGGGTCAACCCGAAAAACCGTTTGAAGCCCTGCTTGCGTCGCTGCCCGCAACCGCCTCGCTGCTCGCACCGAGTGCACGACTCGCCCGCGTCGCACCGCGCGCCCGCATCACTGCCTGAGACTGCCTCGCTCGCCGGCGTCGCACCCGCGCGCCAGGTAGGGTCGGGTCAACCCGGCAACCCGCCTGGTTGGGTTCGGGTTCGCATTTCCAACCTGTTTACCTATCGAGGTCGGGTTAGGGTCGACCCATTTGAACCCGGGTCAATTCCGGGTCCGACCCGAACTCGACCCGTGACTCGAAATTGACACCCCTAAATGGTTGTGACATTAAAGCCTTCTCCCACTATTACGTAAGAAATCCTAACTTATGCAATCATTCTGGCCTACAGAGAACCTAACCCACCTTTAAGTTGAACATTACTTTTGACTATGTGCCTCATCTAGCGGAATCCAGCGGATAGAAATCTATTTAGATACATGTGAATTACCATATGGGCATATATGAATATACAAAAAAAAATAAAAAAAAAATCCTCCAATTAAAAGAGCTTATATAGATAAAGGTGTTGAGGATATTTGACACTTGTCTTCCATCTGATAAATAAAAGGAATGGTGTATGACCCAAGAAGGAAGGGAGAAGAGAAGGGGGTGGGGTATTAAGATTTGACATAAAAGAAGACATATGGTGGGAGAGATCAAACAAGTTTATTTCCATAGCCATGAAGGCTTTGTGGAAATTAAAGAAAGAATAGATAAATGAGGAGAAGGAAGTGAAAGAAATAGCATACAAACAATCTAATAAGGATCCAAATGATAAAAGCTCAGCAAACAAGCCTTCAAAGTACTAGGAAAAAAACTAGAGGAGGATAGGGAGAATCACAGCCACTTGATAAGAAAGTCAATGGAACATAGAACCCTAAGAAAGCTAAGTGGGTGTAAATAGTTATTCTATTTTGTGTGGCATGCTTAAAGAATGTAGAAGAATTATAATTGACATGTCACTAAAAATAAATTTGAGCAAGCACAAATCTTGAGGCATCATTGAATCAGAAGCTTCCAAAGTTAAATTCAAAACCATCCATGTGACATCCCAGGCATCTATAGTGAAAGGATTCATCTGTCAATAAATAAATTTCAATACAATTCCGTCAATATCAATAAATCCATGAATCCATAATGAGATCAATAGGTCAATACCATACACATGCAATTCAGTACAATAGTCTTACTGAACAAGTACAATCACTGACTATTAAGGCGTTTTTCTAGTCGATAATCCATAGTGCTGTTGTAGAAATCCATAAATATATCCGTTGGCTCAATAAGAGTCGTCACTCTGTGCCCGTCGGCCGCCCGTCGGCATAATAATCTCCTTATGACTCCCAATCGTTATATCAATGATCAATAGAGGATAACACCAAACCTTTTTTAAAGGAAAGCCCGTCAGCCCACCATTATGTACAGGTCAAGTCAATCTCCAACCAACGGTTCAACCAGTCTTCACTTGTCTTTCAGTAATATAACAATATATCAATCATATATCCACATTCGTATGCATATTCAATCATTCAAATCATCAATTCTGAAAATCAGAGATCGTACGAGAAATCGGCGGCATAACGGTAGTACACGGAATGTACACAGAAATCACAATTTCAGAAATTTACCAATTTACCGGAAATCGAATAAAACAATGTTCCAAAGCTGTACTTGTACTGAAGCAACAATTTCCAACATCCTGATAATTTTCTATTCGATAAAAATCACACAGAACTCAAAATACCCGGTAGAAACTTTACAGAAAATACTCAAATCGTGTAAAAATATCATATCAGAAACATATCAAAAGTTGTGCCGTAAAACTTTCGTCAATACAAAATTATGCGTGTTTTTCGGTAACGGAAACACAAATCTGAGCACAGAAATATCAAAACTCGAAATCTTAAAAATCAGAAATAGGATTCGGATTCTTTACTATGAGACAGACAAATCTTCCAACTGCGTCTTCGGACGAAAAGCGCTCCGCGGGCTCCAAAACCAAGCTTTTCCTTCTCTTTCTCTCTCCTGCCTTCTCTTTCTCTCTCTTCAAATGAATAAAAAATATCTCAAATCCGATACTTATCAAGCAAGATCGTCCCGGACGATGCCTTGATCGTCCCGGGACGAACTCCTCTGGACACGGATCGTACAGACGAAAATTAATTCCAATTTATTTCGTCCCTGGACGATGCTCTCGGGTTCAGTTCGTCCCGACTGTTCCAGGTTCGTCTAGACGAACCATACAGATTTCTTCACAATTTTCTTCAGTTCGTTCGAGACTAAAGTCAATTCGTCCGGACTGACAACACTCAAAAAAATCAGCTTTGGAGGGGTTTTACAATCCAACTCTGATTCCAGCAAACATATAAACAAATTGAACGTTTCGATGAGAATAACCTTATGGCACAAAAAATGGCTTAATCCAAGCTTAAGATGGGATCAATCAAGGGCCTGAAGTATAACTAAAAACTTCATAATATTAATTAGATAATCAAGTAATCTCTAAATTTAGCATGCTCATAGTCAGAATTGCTTAATTTTGATATCGTTAAGCCACTTAATGTTGAACTGATAATTTATGATCATTGGAATCAATGTAGGCCATCCAATAGTGTTTTGGATTTTATCCATAATTATGGGCACACCAATCTCAAAGCTCTATAAAAATGCTTTCACTATATACATGATGGGAGGACCTTGGATCTAAAGCCTTAACACTCTATTTTGAGATTCAATAGAGCTTTAAGCCTCTAAGGATCCCAAAGCACCACCGCTTGATTGTCGTCGTCGGACCTTCATCAATCAACCAACAAGGCCCCCGACCTTCATAGCCGATCGACTACAACCCACCAACTACACTCTTCTATGTCACATCCGAGATATAATTTGAAGAATCATTCTTATAACACATTTCATGTAGATAAGCACATGTATACTTTTATTATAATAAAAATATAAATAAATAAAAAAGTAAAAATTTATAGTGTTCTATATCGGTATCTAACAATTTGAATCATGGAGCAGAATTTAAGGTTTCCAGAATTTCACCAGATTATTAGGGTTTATTTAGAGTATTGTTTGAAAGCTTTAAATGTTCTATAACATAACTTTCTAATATCAGAATTATTTTCTAATTTGTCAAAAATAACACGTTGTTTATTTACACAATGATTTTTTTTTAATTAAAAAGTTCATAATAATCACATCTGCAACATATGAAAGTTTAACGAATGCGAAGTTATCCCCATTTTTACACTATGGATTATAATTTTAATGAGAAAATTTCCAAAAATTTATTATTTTTGATAACTAAGATAAGCAAAATGTTAACATACCTAGACCCGGACATCTTTCCAAACTGAGCCAATAGTTCAAAAAGGGCTAAACCCACCCAAATCCTACATGGAGCCAAGGCACTCCAGAAAATGGGGCCACAACGCTCTCAACAAAGACCACGCTCCCAAACCAATGTCGTTGTGCTCGCAAAAATTCCAAAAAAAAAAAAAAACAAAGAACTCAATGCTGCAGCGTTGCCTACCTCGGCGCCGCGGCACTCCTAAGAAAAAAAAATTCAAATCTTATATTCATGCACATAAGATACACACAAACACAAGCAAAAGGTAGAGATGCAAAAAAATAATTATTCTTACCCGATCAAGTCAGAATATGTGCAACTATATATTGCTTCAATGGGTATGACACATCATATGCAATGTAATTTTCACATAAGTATGAACATGAACATAAGTATTACAAAATATATAACTATCTTATAATATACAATGTTGCCCTCCAACTACGGTCCTCATACTATTGCCCTCCAACAACGGTTCTCGTACTATCATCGCCCAACTACAATCCTTGAACTCATGTCGCCCAACTACAGTCCTCGAGCCATCACCAAACAACTACGGTCCTCGAAGCACAATTGCCCGACTATAGTCTTCTAACCAATGTTAACCGACTATGAACCTTCTGACCTCCCTAGCCACCGTCAAACAACCATCGCCTGACTTCATTCCTCGAACCACCGTCGCCCGACTACAATCCTCGAGCCACTGTCGCTTGACGACGATCCTAAAACTACAGTCGCCCAACTATAGTCCTCCGACCACTGTCGACTAATTATGATCCCTTTGATATCCCTAGCCCGCCAACTAAAACCCTGTGACCATTCTTGCATGACTGCAGGACTCCGACTTTCATTACAGTCATCCAACCACCATCACCCAAATAAGGTCATCATGATCTTTGTCACCTGTCGACTACAACTATCCAACCTTTGTCATCCATCAACTACCGTCCTCCAACCAACGTCACCCGCTAATAGCAATCCTTGAACCATCGTCGCTCAAGTCTAGTCCTTATAACATCGTCACCTAATTACAGTCCACTGACCACTATCACCAAACTATGGTCCTTCCGACATCTGTTGTCCGTCGACTACAATCCTCAAACAATTGTCTCCCAACTAAGATCATCTGGTCATCGTCGTTCGACTATGATCTTCTATCCATCATCGTCTGACTACAATCCTTTTAAACTTCATCACTCACCAACAACGATACTCTAACCTCTGTTGTCTGCAAACTATAGTCTTCCCACCATTGTCGCCTGACTACAGTTCACCGACCTACAATCTCTTTACTAATGTCACTTGCATACTCAAATGCATATTAACTTCATCAATTACCATCACCAATGATGCCAACACATAAGGCTATCAATATTTAACCTGACCAGAAATTCAACCTGAAAATTTTCTGGTTCAAGTCAACCCATTTAACATACGGGTCAGATTCAGATTCAATATTGTGAACCATTTTTAAAATCAAGTCATGTTTAGGTTCACCCAAAAACTCGAAGGTGTCCAGAATTGACCGGTGCTCTCCTGCACTTGAGCTCGTGCGCTCGGAGCCACGCCAAAGGCAAATCATTCTGCAGCGCTCTCGCACGCTTTCGAACACCTGCAGGACGTAGCACTCCGCACCTTGCAGGTTGCTCTTGCCCACCCACGCCTGAGCCCGTGCACCTAGACCCGCAACGTGCTCGCCCTCCCGTGCTGGCGTCTGCACCCTGCCCACCACGCTAGCATCTTCACCCTGTCCACTGTGCTAGCCCCCTTCGCGAATAGTTGTGTATTCCGGGTTAGCAAGTCTGGTTGGGTCAACCTGGTGACCCGCACAGATCAGATCTGGGTCAAACATTTTGACCAGTTTACAAAATTAGGTCGGATTAGGATCAACTCGTTTGGACTCAGGTCAATTCCGGATTCGACCCAAACCCAAACCAAATACCAATTTTAACACCCATACCAACACATCCCATCCCATCCCATCCCATCCCATCCCATATAGCGTAAAAACTCTAATGTGTCTTATAATTCTTGCATTTTCTCATATATGTGTGTTGAATCTTCTTGCAAAATTAGGAAGTTAAAATCTCTATATCTCTACCGCTAGAAATGTTCCGACACACAACAATAATAATTTAACTTTCTAATTAATAAACAAAATCATAATATTCTGATATGAACAGAACATAGTGAACCTTGGATTTAGTGATAGCACATCCTACTAAGTTCAATTACAAATGCTTCTCAGCTGTCTATTTGATTACAAAGCTTGCTAAGTTAGCGTCTGCAGTTGGGGCTTAAGTCAGCCTTCGATATACGCGGCCCCAAGCCCAACCATGGCTGGCTGATCTCTTCCTCTACATTTACAAAATCCTTTGAATCATTTCTGCTGTTCAGCTGGTAAGGCGCCTTTGCGCTAATCCTGAAATTTTTTCCAAGATAAATCTTAACAAATAAGCATTCCTTCAAAAAATAATAATAATAATAATAATTCATTCCTAGGTACAAATGAACAGAAAGTCAAGAGTTCACTACCTATCATTTCTCTTCTGCAGGAAACGGTGGATTGATACCTTCCTCGCAATAGGGAGATCTGTTTTCCAACAAATGAATACCAAAAAAAAATAAGGAATTCTGCAGCCAGGGAGAATTTTTTCATGAAAAGATGCCAACTTGAAATACAGGAATCCAATGGATCACCAGAGAAGTTGGGCTGAGCTCCGGCGTAGAATTTCACCGGAGGAATGGCCGGCGCCGAGAAATTTTGGACGTCCGCCACAGGCACCGAGGGATACACGGCAGTTGCGGTCCCAGAAGTAAAGTTCTGCCCTTTACTTGCAATCTGCATCAGTTCCTTGGCCTTCTCGGCCGGGAAATTGTCGAACACAACCACCTTCCCGCCGTAGAACATTGTGAGCTGAGCTTTCTCCGGTTCCCTGCAAAACACAAACCAAACTCAACAACATAACTAAAAGAATAAATTACTGGAAGCAAAATCTCCTACTGATCTCCAAAAAATCAAGAAAAATGACGCCAATGAAAGGGGCAGAAAAGTCAGGACATACTTGGCCTCCGCCGCCGGCGAGGTCGGGCTGAAACCTCCGTGTTGGAGGAAGAACTCCACGGATCCCGTAGCGTTCGGAGGCGACGAATCCTCCTTACCCTCCCGGTCGTCTCCGGAGACGTCCACACCGGGAAGCAAGCTCATGGTCGTCGGCGGACGGTACGTTTCAGGTTTCCCTAAAAAATATCAATCAACAAAATTAGATAAACAAATCTTTCCATTACAACTTCTAAAACAATTATCCTAGCAAAATTACCGAGAAATTTCAGTTGATAACCCTAAACCTAAAACGGATTAGGTGAGGAAATGATGAATCCATACCAAAAAAAAAACTACAAATTAGGTAAAACAAACCCTAAAGGTTTACACGAACTGACCCTTTTACTTCGGATAACAAAATTACCTAAAGAAGACGAATCAAGAGCGCGAGAGGGCATGCTGAACCCTAGATCAGCGAAGTTTCCCTTCTCCTTGATGTACTGGCTCAAGAGGCTGCAGGTGAGCGCGAAGCTCGATTTCTCCGGCCTCTTTGTCATTTCCATGGTCGTCGCAGGCCGAGCAGCTTAGCTCAAAAATTCAAATTCCAGATCCTGATCGGTCTCTTCTTATTTCTCTGTCGTCCTCTTTCACTCTCCCCATATTTGTACTGTTCGAGTTCGACAATGGCTCCGAATTAAAGCACGTGATTCTGAAGAGGAGCGGCCGAAGGTGGAATTTTTTTTATTAAATTAATAAATTAGCCGAAAGAAAATTGTTTTCTTCTTCTAAAAACAAGAGGGGAAATTAAACACGAGGTGCCAATGCTGGAATCGGTCCACCGTCTTTAAAAAAAACCCGGTCCACCGTAATGGCACGCAACTTGTTAAAATAAATAGCAATTTAGTTAATATTTAAATTTTGGGATTTACATATATATCATTTTATTTCATATTATTTACATATCTTACTCAAAATATTAATAATATAGGTCTATCACTTATATACAACTTTAATATTAGATATAAGACTCATATATTTCATTCCTACTACTCATATTATCCTATAAACTTTAATATTTTATTTCATACACTCATATTTATTTTACGAGTGATAGATATGTAATATTAATATTTGTTTATGTAAATCCTCCTTAAATTTACCGCAACTCTTCAGTTTGTAAAATATATAAAAGCGACCAAAAATTATATATATATATTGGTCTTATCATTATGAAGTTAAAAAACTCGAATAACATGTGGCATATCCTTTGTAGATAATTATGAGCCAATTAAAATAATAATAATAATATTTATTGTTTATTATTTATTTTCTAATTATAAAGAAAATCCGGACTATTGATGTCTAAGTAATTGGACAATATTATTTTTTTTCTTAAAAAATTTAGGCCAAATTTTAATTCAATGAAAACTATCCCTAATAAGGGATAACTTTTTTTATTCGCAAAATAACTATTAGAATGGTATGATATTCAAAATTAATGTAAATCTTTATTTAAATTTGAGTCGAATTTATTCAAAGCTAGTTCAAATATTATTTGATCATTTATACGAATCAATTGGATCAAAAGTATGTGAGAATAAAAGATTTGTGAAGAAACTCAGTGGCAAAGACACATGAACCTGCTTGGGGAAGACATCACTAGGATCAAGATTGTGAAGGAGAAGGATACTTTTGCACAAATTTGTTGGAGAAGGTATGGGATCTGCCATAGGAAAATCGCATATTACCGACGGATTTTTCCGGCGGTTTATTTTCCGGCTGTCTTCTGATGATTTACTACGAAATATGACCGCAGATTATATGGCTGCTTTTTCTTATTACATTTTAAATTAAAAAAAAATATGACACTTTTAATAAATTTGCCCTTCTAGCAAATTAGTTGGGACTTTGAAGCATATATATCACTTCAAATCCCACAACAGGCGATTAGCGTGGGTAGGATGCGGGCAACGTAGGAGGGCAATGCGGGAGGTAGCGGGCAGTCGGGTGGCTTAAGTTTTTTAATTTTTTTTTTAATTTTTCATGAGATATAAAATCTTGTATTCATGGATCACTTATTGGAATTTATGTTTTTCAAACTATCTTAGTCCAAAGATCATAAAAATTTTTTGCATGTTTTGATTCTCAAAATAATCAAATTAAATATATAGTCATCCCAAAAAATGCCCATTTTTTATGAAATACTAAAGATTAAATTTTGGGTAGATTTTCGTAATTTAAATTTAATCAAGATGAGTTTTTTATCTATAAGAATTTTCTAAGATATAATTAATATAAAAGTTTATTAATTAATAATGTAACACAAATCTTAAAATAAATTTAATGAATAAAAATTAATTTTGATCAAATTAATATTAAAATATCATGAACCAAAATTCTTTATATGTTCTACTCTCTCTACCATAGTGATCATCACTTAAATAAAATGTCGAAGTCATAATGAACATTTATCATTCTTGTATGGGGATAACCACTCTAAAAAAAATCACTTAAGAAGAAGCTAGTTTTTAGAGTTTGCATATACATAGAGGCTTCGTTTGGTCCGGTTTTCTTACTGTTTCTTAATGCAGCTTTTTAGTATAAAAATTTAAATTTTTGTGCTAAAAAGCTGCTTTAAGAAGCAGTAAAAAAGCCGTCTCAAACGAAGCCATAGTCAATTTAGGTCAGCTTTCTCATTATTTTGCTTTTTGGATCAACTACATTTCTGTTTGACTAATTGTTATTTTTTCATTGCTTTATAGAAATTTTTATGATGATAAACTATTCTTTACAATCAGAGATGCTAAAACATTATAGTTTGAAGAAAGCAACTGTTTGATTTTTTAAGAAAAAACATATTTATAATATCTAAAGTAACTTCAAAAAAATTATTTTCCTCATAAAAATTTTGTAAACTCTTTTATAAAATATTACAGTGATCTCAAATATATTCTCAATTTACATTTTTTCTCTATACTTACAAAAAAATGCTCAATCATATTTTTATTCATTTCATTATCTTTATTAATATTATTATTTATTTACTATATTATTCATTAACATAAACTTTTGCCTACCTTATAAAAAATGGACTATTTTCTCCCTTAATTCTAATAAAAAATAGATGCATTAGATCATGCTCTAAGGTTTCTTTTGGAACGACATTCATACTGCTTTTTAAAGTAGTTTTTTTTTATAAAATTTTTATAAAAAAAGCTACTTAAAAAAAAAAAAAAAAAAAACCTTCTCGAGCAAAGGCTAAATTAATTGTAATATGATTATACAATTTTACCATTAGATCGACCCAATCCAACGGCGAGAACTAATTATGATGAGCTGATTGTAGTGCGATAATGGCCGGCCATTATAACACATAAATTTTATTTTATTTTATTTTGTGATTTTTTTATATACGAGATTTAGATTTTTTTTTTTGTGTATTTCAGATTACCACTGAGTTCATTTGGGACTGCTTCCGCTTTAAGAAGTAGTAAGAAAATAGTCCCAAACGAATGCTTAATAAATAAAATAATATGGACAAAATGTTTCAAGCAGGTTATGATTTCGTTTGGGACAACTTTTTTTACTGCTTTTTAAAACAATATTTTAGTATATAAATTTTTTGTTCAAAAAATTTATGTACTTAAAAATTACTTTAGAAAACAAATAAAATATAACTTATATTTATTTACAAAACACCTCCAAATTCAAGGCAAGCATAAAATATTTAATGAGAAATATTTATTCAAATGGGATTTTCATTAGATTATGATTAAAATATTGGCAAATGGTATTTAAATGACAATAAATTTTAAAATAATGAAGATAATAATGATAAAATAATTAATTAATTAATTAAATATTTATATATAATTGTTGCGTCTTGAAATATTCGTGGAGGTAGAGAAATATAAAGTTCAACGTCTTAGCTTTGTACGAAGATCCAGCACGCACACAGATGAAAGAGAGGATGCAATATTCATAAGAAACACTAAGATTTTTATGTGGAAACCCCTAAAAAAGGGAAAAAACACAGGGCATAGCCCAATTTATATGAATCCACTAGTATTTACAGTTGATTATAAATGAGGCCTTTCATTGAAAGGAAGGCCATGGTTTTATGTAACAAATATACATCATATAGAGTGTGTTACATGGTGGAAATATAAAGAATCATTGTTAACGTGTTTGCTTGGTCGGAAGGGCCATAATTGGTGGGCAACGAAGGTCAGAAGAACTGTAGTTTGTGGGCGACATAAGTTAGAAGGAATGTAGTCGGAGGGCGACATAAGTCGGAAGAACCATAGTCGACGGGCAATATAGGTCATAAACAATTTTGTATGGCGAAGGAGGTCGAAAGGACAACGTCGAGTAGAAGTCCAGCATTAGATATAAGTCCAATGAATATACGTCAACGGGCAGAAGTCCGACGAAAGTACGGTGACGAGCAGAAGTCCAGCGTTTGGCAGGAATCCAGCGACGAGCGGAAGTCCAGCATTTGGTAGGAATCCGACGACCGGTGGAAGTCTGATGTCGAGTAAGAATCTAGCGACGGGCGAAAGTCCGGCGTTGGGAAGAAGTCTGTCAATGATAGAAGTCTAACGTGGATAGAAGCCCGACGAAAGTCCGACGATGAGTAGAAGTCCGGCGTCGGTAGGCTGCCGGGTGGAAGTCCGACGGTGGTCGAGGAAGAGTATGGTGACAGGAGAGCTCTCTTTTTTCTTTTAGTTTTCTTCCTTTTATTCTTGCTTCCTTGCTTAATTACAGCGTCAGTTGGTGATTGGACAGAAGTCCGATGTCGATGGGATGCCGGGTGGAAGTCTGGCAGCGATCGAGGAGGAGTCTGTTCCTTCTCTTCCTTGCTTCTTCTCTTCTTGCTTGGGCCTCTTTTTCTTCCCCCCTTTTGGTGGTCTTTTTCTATGAGAAATGATGGGTCTATTTATAGTTTTCTAAGAGTGTCATGACCAGTAATTAGGAGAAAGATCAAGGGTAATTTGAGAGTGGTTTGAATGGACGGCCAATGTTGAATCCCTTGATCATGGATCGTTTACTTGGCATTTGAATGTCTTAACGATATCACAATTCAACGATGTTGGGCTCGTTGGATTTTTCTCATCGAGTCGCTCGATTCAACTATAAGCATGTCACATTTGGAAACCATTTAGTAATCTAATTTATGGTTTGAACCTTCCAAATTTGCTTCGGGTCTTTGATTTGGACTCATTTGAGCTCGGATTGAGTCAAATTTGGTGTCGTTGGGTTCGTATTTCTAAGACCTTCAGTTCAACTATTAGTTTGCTGAAATCAAAGTTCATATCGTCTCCGATTTAATTTTTGAAATTTCTAACGTGATTTTTCCTCATGATTCGTGCCTGATCAAGATTCCTTTTTAATGATATATCAATAACTAACAAAATAAATATCAAAATTTTAAAATTGTCATGATAAAAATTTTATCAAATACCTCATATTTAAATGCGGGGGAGGATGGGACAGCTCATTTATTGCTGGTTGCTCTCGTGCGGAGGATTTTTGAAGTACCTGCAGCCCAAATACAGCTATATGCATATGCCCCACATTCACAAGGAATCTACACGTGATCAAAATCATCAAGTTGCATATATTAATGTTAAATGGCATAAAATAAAAGAG